AAGGTACTTACTTAGTATGCGGAATCTGTTTACGTTGCTAAACATGACTCGCTAGTTAATGATGACGATGGCTTAAGATTGTCAGCCTGGTAAGTGTCAACTTTCAAAGCTAGTGATTTTCCGTCAGAGCAGAGCTAGACCCCAAGGTAGTACACTCTTAATTATGTAAAACTATCAGGAGACGAATAAAGAGAGTATCAGCTACACAAGGAGTGCTGGGGGTTGTTCTGGAACAAATCAGAAATCAGAAAGAACAAACGAATCAGAAAACGAAACAAAAGCGCGGGAAAATGAGCAATACAATTCTGGTTGTCTTCTGCCTTACCGTTACAAGGTTTTGACTTTTACACCAGTACCGTTACAAAGGTCCTACAGGGGTTAATGCACTAAAATATTTCACAGAGGTATGATAATGTGCAATATGCCAAACAATGCAGAACCGAGTAAGTAATCGGAAGAATTCAAACGTAACGCAATGCTCGGAACAGGCCGCTTGACTGCAATAGCTAAGTGACGATTAAGAATTACACAATTTTTTAGAAGCCTGACTAATAAGATTACAAATTGACCCAAGTGCGCAAACCAGTTGACTCAAAAGTCTTCCAGAGCATTAACTTAAGTTTGAAATTGTATCCACTTTCTTCTGAACTTGTGCAAGTTCTTGTAACTGGCTCTGCTCACTCGTAAAAACACCCACTGCTGCGGGCTACAACTACAACATAAAGCCGTCCAGTAAAAAAAAATGTACTTTATTGGAATTGTTTCCTCTGATATTACACCAAGTAAATATGTTCGAACCTATCAGTTTTCAATCGATGGTGAAAATTTAATAACAATAAAATAAAATGTATCATATGCTATCTGTACAAACTAAAGCTTTAGTAAAAATACAAACAACAAAATTCTGAATTTAAATCATCCGCACCAATCAGTCGTCGTACCTGAGACGGCGAGATACAATTACAGTATACTAAATCAAAGGAACAACACAGATGTCCAAATTGTGACCAATGGAACCAAAAGTGCACTGTCTTCAATCGCAAAAAAAACAAAACTATAAACATCATTGACAATTGAAGAACACAAACCACGCTTACATGGTATAATGGCCCCTCTTAAAACCATAGAGCTAACTGAGTTTCAGCTGCCTGATTAGGTACAAACTTTGTAAGACGCTTAGTACAACATGTACTAAAGCACTTTTTGTGCCTTTAGAACTCAATATACCTGGAAATGTACATGTAATTAGCAAATAATGTTAATATTCTACCTTGTATATTCCCATGTTTATTGTCTGCTTGAAAGGGAATTATCCTAGTCAGTCCTTAAATAAGGAACATTAAGTAACGCCATACCTTCAATACACAAATGACATTCTCCTAGCAGTTTTGAACGTGCAGCGAAAACAATACTGAGAAAAAGATGAGCGCTCCGCTTCTCATTACTACAAAATTGGAAGTAGCAAACAAATTTCTTACATTTCAGAGTTATGGTAATATTTGTTCAACACAGTCTCCCTTCTTTCACTCAATTTAATTGCACTGAATCATTTAAAGCAATCATGATTGAAACTAGCTCAAACACGCTTCATACTTCACATCCACCAAAGAATAGCTTCAATCAGTTTCCTGATAGAAAACCAGCGGTCTACGTTTCTTACTTACGTACTAGGTTCGTCAAAGGTTGTTTGAATGTTAGGTATACATTAAAGATTAACCGNGCCCGTGCGACGAAATAACTTCACGGGATTGGCAAAGTTTCAGTCACGGCAAATTATGCAAAAAATCTAGGAAGATTTAAGCTTAAATCTTGTTTAAGGTTTAAAGCGACATATCAATGACTGGAACCATCGTGTTGTATACAAACCTCGCAAACTTTAAAACACGTTCTCTAGTGATACCTGCGAAAGTATTCAGCATAATTTCCGGTAAGATTTTCGCGGACAATCTGATCGATTTCTCTTACATTGTGTGCTGAGACTGAAACTTTTCACCTCAAGCAAATCTCCGTCGCACGGCCCAAACAAAAATAGCCAGCAACTGAGCGATTGGTATTTGTCCGTGTCAAAACACACGAAAGGACTCCAAAGCACACTTCAATCTGATTGGGCAGAAAAACACAAAGATTTTTCTGGCACCAATCAGATGGCAGAACGACTGGGACCGTTTGGAACTAGTCTTGTAAGCCAATGTCCCCAGGGGCTCTTCATGCCCTAACTTGAAATCGACTCAGCCCCTGGGTCTCCGAGGATGAAAGGAGAGTTGATGTGATGATGTTTGCCCAAAAGTTGCGTTTAACCGAGCTCTTATACTGATGCTTCTGTTCCTCGATGTCCTTGTTCTATCAGAAGGTTAAGAAATTTTGAACGGAATGTGGCCGCCAAAACAGCAGAAGAAAGTCGTTGGTGAGACAGTCCCCAGGAAAACGTTGATAGGTTTGCAGCAATGTTATGCAATGTTATGCGATTAAATATCTGACCACCGGTAGGCCATAGGGTTGGCCACAGGGTAGGCCACGGCTTACACCAAGGCCTAGGGCATGGCCTTCACCACGTTTTGTCCACCCCCCTAGAAAAGAAAGTTTACCATTTTCTTCGGCTCAAGAAATTGATGGACTTGATAATTGAAATTTGTAAGGAGAGGATAAAGGGTAAGATTTAAATCTCATCAAAGTTTTAAACCGGTCTGTAACAGCCAAGAATTTCGTAGAAAGGTAAAACAAGAAAATTTGGGTTCATCTTACTGCGCAAAAGACTCTAGACACACAAACAACAAATAAAAGGGCAGGGGGAGAGGGGTCGTTGACAAGCATGTCTATTTAATATTTTGTAATATCTACAAACTGAGACAAAAAATAAAAGATTTGAGAATAATGAAATATGAAGATGAAGAAAGTGTGTCATATCTTATCAACCCCCTCTGATCTGGAATCTTAGAAAGTAATCCATGACTCAAAAAGTTGGAATTAAAACTGCCTAGTAAGTGAATTTTTACATATCTCAGAATTTTGATTTATGTAGAGAGATGTGGGTGAAGAAAAAAGAAAGGCTTGTCAATTCTGGACTACCAGGTCTTGTACTCAGTTTGGATTTCCAAGATAAAAAATAACGTCAAGTTCCCAAAACTTTGAGTAGCAACGAATTCAGGTATGTAGCAAAACCAAAAGTTATCACCCAAATTTCTTAACAGCCCTATGTTCCTCAGGGGACCAAAAGGCTTAAGTCAAGTAAGTCATACAGTACTTTCACTTTGCTACTGCCCCTGTCTTTGAATTTGCTATTTCCATCTGTCTGCATCTATGAAACTCACTAACACCCCCAATTTTTCTTCTCTTTTGCCTTTATTAAAAGTCTTAATATGCAGTGATGGAACTCAACAGAAATGCCTCATTCTATTTCCTGCTATGGTCTGTAAGTAGGCCACAGTTTGCAGCAGATTAACTTCAACCCCAGGTGAGTGTATGTCACTAATATAGATATTTCAGTGACCAGAGTGTAAGTCAATCAATGTACTATGTGTTTGGTCTTACATTAGTAACTTTTGGCGACCTTAGGCTGGTTTGGCCACAACTATTAAATAAAAGTTACATAAAGCCCTAAGTTAGTAGGACTTTAAAATCTTGGTATTCACCTTATTTCAGAGGCAAAAACATAAAACTCACCCATGCTGACAGAATCTATTTCCACCTTCAAGATTTGATGGACCTGCCCTCTTTAAACAGTGACATGTATCTGCTGGAAATGAAATAACATGCATGTTAATTAACAGATCAGTCTGCACACACATGCCTGTTAACCCCAACATGTAAAAAGAGCTGGCCAAAATTTTTGCATCTTGAAAATTTTTTATTAAAATGTCTTGGTTCAGATTTAGTTATCTGCACTTAATGTTTATTATAACATCAATTATCGTGATTTCCATTGTCATGATTGGTCTAAATTGTTTCTCCGAGTGCTAATCAAAGATTTATACAAATATATCTTTTGAAGGTGAAAGTGAAAGTAAATTGAGAATCTTGACTTAAAATTTTACTAAAGATAAAAAGTCAAAATATTGTTCAGTTTTAAATTCATTGAAATTAAACTCACTGACAGAAAATGAGATTGACCTCAGTGTAAACTTACTTCTTGCTCTAAGTTCACTTTCAGTAAGGTGAGCTCAATCCTTATCAGCCTGGTTAATTCTATTAAGAAAAAAAATATTTAATTTTCTAGTGCATGAAATGAGTATTGTAAGAGCAGAGCTTAGTGCCTGTACATAAAGCCTATGGTAATGACATTTAAGTGATCATTTTGAACAACAACAGAGAAAGTTAGCAGATTTCTGGTATCCTCAAAGGGAGACATCCCAGCTACATGTAGAAGGCTTTAGCAGGTCAATTTATAATAATTATGTGATCATCAAAGCAAAATGAGTTTACAAATATGCTAGCTAGTTTACAACCAAGGTCAGGAGCTGAAGCTGAAGCAAGTAATTTTATATTTTTTTATATACTTTATGCACTGAGTAGGAACCAAAAATGGTCACTTTGGTATGTTTTGACCTGATTACCATGATAGTCACGGAAGTGTGAGTTACATGTACTTTGGCTGATCAGCTGGAATGGTAATACAGCTACTTTCAATGGCTGTTCAGTTTACCTGCTTTGACTTTCTCTTTAATTCAGCCAATCAGCACTTGAAAAACACAATATCAAACTGCTCTGTGATAATGGAGGACAACTTTACTTTTATTAAAGAGAAGAAAGGAAAAGCAGAGTCATTGTCCCTCCTGCTTCCTGTACATTTATTTATCTATTTATTTTTTTGCATTACTATGTGAATTGACAGGTCGGTTCGTTGCTATGGGCCAGGGGTAAGTGTTTTTCAACAGCAAGTCGAGTTGAGTTTTAGAGTATCGCGAGCGAATAAAGTGATTAAAATATACAAATATCGAACCAGCCAAGTACAATTGTTGTTCGTCAATGACAGTCATGTTTAGACAATACTGTAAAAACAATTAAGACAGTCTTCAATTCTTAACTACTCAAGATGTCACTTTCAAGTAAGATTGTCTTGATTGCATGTGGCTGATAGATTGATGGCCCACTGGCTTTAAACATGTGTCTGGCATACACTATTCACTCAATTATTTCCTTTTCAAAAAATTGCTTTACCAGAAGAAATAAGAGTTGTGTTCACATTCATTACTGTGAATTCATTTAATGGAGACACTCACTTTTAGATTGCTTTCAACAACCTGTCTTTATTCATCAATCAACTATCTAATAAGCTGGTACAATCATGTCACCAGATTAAGTCATTTTACATCATTCAGTATTCCTACGGTAATTTTAATGACATTGGTACAAGTACTTTTACTAAAATGTTATCAATACACTACATTTGTGTACAGGTGGTTTCCAGAGGGATGAAAGAAAAACTTTACCATGACAACCCCGTAGGTTGGGGTATATCCAACGTAATTGACAAACTCTCCTTGAACTGCACAATATAAAGAAAAAAAATTAAAAAAGCTAAAATTCAAATCCAAGAAATATGTTAAACGTAAGCCAGAAAATAAAATTGACTATAACTCTTATTCAGTCCATTTTTACCTGCTTTAATTTTCTTTTTCTTCCTCTAGGCACTGAAAACTCACTTACAAATATATAAGTACTCGACTTAGTTGGTACACTAGTAATGATCTGTAATGTGGAGGGAAACTTTGCTATGAAGAAGAAAGAAACAAAAGGGGTCCTTTCCACTGACAATAAAACAAAAATAATTTACACTGCTTTGCTTAAGTGTGGTAATTAATTAAAAACTGTTTTGGGCTAATCATATTGATTTTGTAAGAAACAAGGTTAATTAAAGACTTGGTGTATTCATAGGATAATGCATTTACATGTAAGACCTAAAAAGATAGAAAGAAGGGCTCTCAGGTGCTACATGTATGTACCAGGTCTTACATGAAGCACTTGCTGATCTTAGGCTGGCTTGGTTACAACCATAAATTTTGTAAATTTAGTCTGAACATGCAGGTGAGCTGTATTTGTCCAGTCAATTAAATTACTTTTAAGGAATTCATCCATTTCACAGAGACACATGTTTTACATACAAATGGCCATTCTTGCTAATGTTCTTGACGAGAACTTAAAACAAGAACAATGTAGTCCAGTAAACTAGTACCAGGCCCCCATAGGGCATATGAGACTTAATGTCCAGTCCTTATTGTGTAATATTGTGTTCTTCTCTAACCAGAAAAAGGAAATAGAAAATCAAGTCACATGTTCACTTATAGAAAATTGTAGAGTCATGTTATGCATATTGTAGAGCTAGGGCGGGTACAAATTAAGCACATGACAGAAAATACTAATGACTGTAAATTAAGTCAATCTTTTTTGGGATCGATACTCACTTCACTATGACTGCTTTACAGGGGGGTTCAACCAAATAGGAAAAAAGAATTTCACAGAACTGAAAATGTACACCTAAAGAAAAACTCTCTTAATATCAATTATGTAACTATAACTCAATACCTTAATTATCTAAAGAAAATACTTTATGCTCTTAGGATGCATGGTCCTTATACATTCATGAATCTTATTTAATGGGTAATTACTGAGACTAAAGGCTGAAGCTGGTTGCAATATTTCTCAAAATGCCATCTTCTAAAGTGATGATCAGCTATTATAATTCAAAGTGAAAAATGTTGTAGCCTGTTTGATTTAGCACACTTAGTATACATTAATATGAATAGTGTTCGATGGATACACTAAAACAATTGTCCACTAATTAGGAATAAATCACACCTGATTATTGAATAAAAATGAATCAAACCTGTCTATGGTGTGGGAAGGAGGGAAACTAAAAATACTAACGGCTCGAAATAAACATTTTGCTTGCTTGATTGCTGATGGAACGCCCTGACAGGGATACCTAAGCGGTAAATTACATCAACAATTTCGCAATGAAAAATCGCTAGCGTGTGACAATTTAGCCACTGGTTCTGTCCAAGTCTCGTGACTTGCATGCTGAACAAACTGCTCAATCTAGGAAAGATTACTAAGTAACATGCCTGTACCCAATCTGATTCTCTCCGTCATCTACGTCTTGATTCATATTAATGGGATTGATATTCACTTTAAATCAAGTCAGACAGGAACTATTATCCTCTACAATTTCCACTTGCTAACCCTATAAAAGTTTCAATGATCACAACTTCTACAAACAAATTTAACTTGAGCAGGGTCTGCTCAAGGTAGTTCACTCGAGTTACGAAAGAGATTGAATGAACACGAATTCACGTCAACAGTTTGTATTGATATCACAAAGATTACAGTTATAGATCGGTGGACATGTGAAGAGTAGGAAGGAAAAAATACATACCTTGACAGGCGTTCACTTACGCAGGAGTGATAGGAACAGCAGTTGAAGTTCTCGATTTTGCCTTTACTGAGTTCACAGTTATCACAAAAGTTTGCCTATGGTGTCGTTGATCAATCACTGGTTGATCATAAGACTTCTCAACGAGTATTGTGATTACTAAAAGTGGACAAACTTACTACACACCACGAATTAAACAATGTCCTTGAAAATGTGCTTGCCGAAGCACAGTTCCTGGTTCCCGTGACTCTCTTCGATCGTTCGAGGGGAACCTACCGAGAACTCATTTGAATCTCAAGACATGCGAGTCACGCGAGTCACGCGATAGACGCACTTTTTTGGCCAACATGACTCCAATTTGTCCTTTTTATTTCTTCTATATTTATCAAATTAAATATTTTTACCACTAATCGAGGTCGATTTCGCAGACAAAATTCAGATGTTTTTTTCTTCTCGACCAGGCGTCATTCATGACTATCGTCTAATGGTCAAATTCACTATTACCAGCCTTGTTAACAAGTTTTCATGAACGAAATGTTTCTGATATGCCCTGACTATCCATGTAATTAATTTAAGACTCCAACACCGCCCTAGCAGATTAAATTAACCAAAATTTGAACATATCCAATTCATCGATTTGTTTTCACAATCAATTCACTTGTCATCGTACTGGTTTAACTCTCGTCTTCTTAAAATAAAGCAAACTGGGATGAATACTCGGGGCTACTACCGTTCCAAACTTAATTTAATGGCAATAGCAACAAATAATTGTTGAATTCAGTTCAGCAATAGAAGAGTTTGTCGTTGGAATCCAAGAAAAGGGCGGGGGGGGGGGAAAAGAATGTTTGTTAGAGAGCCCCTTTTACTTTGCCTCTGATCGTAAATTCTAGCTCTCGAAAGAACACACTTTGACTGATGAACAGTAAGACTGAATAGAGTAGTGTCTATCATATGAAACTTAACTCATCTACACAATTGTTCTGTGGAATTGTCCCTCCCCTCCGCGCTCATTAATCATTCAAAGTTTGCAAAAAATAAAATTGAAATACAATCAATCATGACAATCGGATAAATACACAAAGTTCAGCACCCCCCCTCCCCTTCTTTTTGAAAAATCCCAGCTTTCCCCTAAGTCCAGCGTAGTAGAAGGAGGCAAACTAAATTCAACTATCAAACATGACTTGTTTCAAGGAAAACATTTGGAGCAGGCCTTTGAGTGGAACAGCTAAAACTTTGAAAGAGACGTCGACAGTTTGATAGATTTTTAAACTGCAGTTCATTAGTTTAAAGTCAAACTACAGGAAAAATGAAAGAAAAAGAAAATACATTACATGGTTAAAAATGCTGAACGATAAAATAAACCCATATCTCATCTAGAAGCATTACAAGAGCTTCCTTATTTTGCTATAAGGAAACGAATGGAATATTTGTTATCTGATCATGGGCCATTCAGTAATAAAAAAAAATATTAGAAGCTGGTTGATCATTTCCTATTTCTTTGACGGTCTTAGTTTGGAACTGAAGTTGAGTAATATTTATCTTTCCTTACTGTGATCGTAAATTTGACATGCAGACAGATGTTCGGTTTCTATGGTAACTAGAATCTGTAGTAGAGTGTTTCACTTATCTTGCGACAAGCTATACTTTTTATGTTAATTAGATCACTAAAGAAGAAAGCTAGTGCAGTGGTCAAAGTTGACCTCTGGACAGGAACTCTCTAGAAATCATTCTTCTCATATTTTTAATCTCTTTAAGTCTCGATTTTAGGTTTATTCCATGTCAATTTCCCACCTGATAAAATAATTCTTAATCATTTTATTTAGCACGTCCAACACCACTTTTTTTTTTAAGGTGACTTGCGGTGCAATAACCTCTCAGATTATCAGTTTGGCTTCCGTCCCAAACGCTCCACTGACCTAGTAAGAAAAGACGCTGACAACGGTTAGATGGCAGGGGCAGTTTTTATAGATCTGTGCAAAGCATTTGAAACCATTAGCCATTCTGGTCTACTTTGCAAACTTCCTTCTTGTGGAATTTGTGGCACTGAGTTCATATGGTTTACGAACTATTTATTTTCTCGAAAGCAAACTGTTTAATACAATGGCGTTCTTTCAGAACCCAACCCCGTTTTGGTATCGAGGTTCTATAAGGGAGCATTCTTGGTTCATTATTCATTTTAACGCTGCAAATAAGGCTCTTCAGTCGTCAAGAATTATTACGTACGCCGATGATACAGTTATCTTTACCTCTTCAAGTAACTTTGACGATATCGAAAGGAATCTGTCAACTTGGTTCCGTAAGAGTGAACTGACCATTAATCTCCAAAAGGGAAAGTCAGAGTCGATGTAAACTCGGAACTGCGAAAAGGTTAAACCGGCTACAGGGGAAACAGCTAAACCTGATGATCAATGGGCGACCTATAAAAAGCACAACAGGTTACAAATATTTGGGTGTTTATTTAGATCCTACATTAAGTTTTGAAACGCACCTCACTGAAAACTTGCAAGAAAGCGGCTGGAAGAGTAAATTTACTGCGGAAAATTCGTTCTTCCATTGCTAGTGCTATTGCTAAAAGTATTTACAGGGCAGTGATCATGCCCGTTTTTACTTACCATAAGTTAGCCACACTTAGCCACTCAAGTACGCGCAAGCCACAAATTTGTAACATCGAACGTCGAGGCCTGAACCTCAGGACTGGAAAATATGTGCATTTGCATTCCACCAACTGACAGTTATTTGAAACGGAAAGTCTGTCTGTATGCTTTTTATTGCTTACTTGGTAATGTATGTATGCCTTTTAAAAACTATTTTACAAAGACAAATTTAACACGAGGAACATATTTTTACCAGTTAAACTTCTGAGAATGAAGCTGGAGTTTGGTCAACACTGAAAGTTTTTCTTTTTTAGGTGCTCTTATTTAGAATAGTTTGCCTTTAGAGATCCGGAAGCTGAACTCCAGAGTCTTATTTAGCCAAAAAAAAGTAAACGAAGATCTTTATCAGTAGTTTTTTATTGTACTGCTTTTTGCTGCTCTATTTTCCACTTGTACATTTTACATTTTTAATCTTTCAGTATTTACAGGACCCCTTTGATAACAGTACTATTCTTTACTGATGGGTTTATCCTGTTTAAATATTCATTTATTATTATTATTATTATTATTATTATTATTATTATTATTATATAACAACGGGAGGAAAAAGGGCTACATTGAAGTAATGACTGATCTCTGGAATGCAAAAGGCTATGGACATCTTTCCATTAAAAGTCAGAACCTGAGGGATCAAGCTTCGCGATTAACGAAAAACGCGTCCTCTTCAAGTATTTCAAGTCCCTTGGATTCTAATAGCGATATTTGGCAATCAAATATACTTGGAAATAATGATATCTCGATAGACGCCACTGACGAAAATTCAAGTAACCCAGATGCAAATGAGCTTTCTCAAGACCCAAATCTGCATTCGTCGAACGTACAATTCCCTGAGGAGACTCAATCAGCAATTGAAGCAAATGATCCTACTATTGAAAACGCGTCAAACCTAATACCTGATAATTTGCCGCATTATGAAGCTTTTGAAAAGCCCTCCTTGTTTAAATGGGGGCTTTCAAACGATGGAAGAGCATTGTTTGTCAAAACGTCGACAATCGATGATGCATACAATGAAATCTCTAAATGGCGCAAGAACACCTTCCTCGTTCCATATGGAAGACCAGGCAAGAATTTCATCGATCAATTGACAAAACATATAAATACATGGAACAATGGCGCTGAAGGGAAACATGTCTCGCTTAAGGCAGCTTTTGTGCTTATGGCTGTTGCTCTCCATAAGCCATATAGAAAGTCTAAAGCAAAAGATCATCAGGAATGCTCAACCAAACGACTTGCTCTGTAGAAAGAAGGTGACATAGATGCTTTGCTACGTGAGGGGCGAATAATTCAGAGACGACTTACAAGCTCTAAACAAACGGTAACATCTAACAAGGCTAAAGTTTTTGCTAATGTTGTGATGAAGGGGCAACTTCATTCTGCCATGAGATACCTCAGTAGTGACGATGGTGGAGGGATACTTCCTCTCAGCGATGACGTCATAAGGCAACTTAGAGAAAAACACCCTGATGCACAGGAAGCCCAATTGGGATCCTTACTTTTTGGTCCAATTGAAGAGGTCCCAACCACGTTATTCCTTGAAATTGATGGTGAGATGGTGCGCGAAGCTGCTCTGAGGACCAAGGGCTCCGGAGGTCCCTGTGGAGTTGATGTTGACGGGTTTAGGAGAATTCTATCATATAAAGCTTTCAAGAAGTCTGGCAAAGAGCTTTGTGATGCTCTCGCTCTGTTGGCCAGAAGACCATGTACGGAGTACGTGGACCCCATTAGCATTGAGGCGCTGCTCTCAAGTCGTCTAATACCTCTTGACAAGGGCGAAGGAGCAGTCCGACCAATTGGTGTTGGGGAGGTACTGCGCAGGATCATCGGGAAGGGCGTCACAAGGGTAATAAAGACTGATGTTATTGAAGCTAGTGGCTCATTACAAGTATGCGCAGGACTGAAAAGTGGAAGCGAAGGCGCCATTCATGCTATGCGAATCATCTTTGAAGCTGATGACACAGATGCAGTCTTATTGATTGATGCCTCTAATGCCGTTAATGCCTTAAACAGATCTGCATCACTACACAATATTAGAGTATGATGTCCTCCAATGGCAATATACGCTATTAATACTCACAGACAACCTGCTCGGCTTTTTGTTATCGGTGGTCAAGAATTGGAATCTGTTGAGGGCACCAGACAAGGGTATCCACTGGCAATGAGTCTGTACGCCATCAGTCTCGAGCCACTCATAAGTATAAGTAAGTATAACTTTATTTAAACACGAAACATTGATGAGCAAAAAGATGCTCGTTACAAAAATGTACGTGTATACTATAGAAAAATTCACTGCCTGACGAGTGAATTCCACGTTAAATTTCACGCGAAAAACCGATATCGCTCGAATCGCGAAGCGATGAGTGCGATATCGATTTTCCAAGTGAAATTTAACGTGGAATTCACGAGTCAGGTAGTGAATTTTTCTTGAATCGCATAACTGAATAAAATAAGAAAACAAGAAATTAAAACGGCAATGTTATTGTTTGTTTTTATTCCGTAGCGCGCCCCTAAGAAAGCCATTTTAAAGTCAACTGTCAGAACTGTCATTGTTAAGGGAATGGAAAGCAAGGTAAGTCGCTCACGTTTGA